GTTGATAAAATTCCTTTGCAGAAGAATGGCTACTTTTAAATCCATTATTGAATGTCCAGGGAGGTTAAAATGTTTCCCCACAAGTTTGTGTGGGTTACCACTCCTGATGTCTGATTTGTGTCCATTAATCCTTTGTCGCAGAGACTGTCTGGTTTGGTCAACAGACATAGCAGAGGGGCATTGCTGGCACTTGATGGCATATATCACATCAGTGGATGTGAAGCTGTATAAGCTCCTGCTGTTGTAGCTTATGTGGTTAGGTCCTGCAGTGGTATCACTTGTATAGAAATGTGGACAGAGTTGGAAATGGAATTTGTTTCAGGGGTAGTTTTCTAGATGAGTGTGATATGTGGCTGCTGGTAAGTATTTTCTTAAGGTTGGGGGGCTGTCTGTTGGCCTGTCTCCCAAGGTCTGCGAGAGGTGATTTTCCCCGATAGGTTGTAGATTGTCAATGATGCTCAGGAGGGGTTTAAGTTGGAGGCTGTAGGTGATGACCAGTGGTTTTCTGTTATTTTCGTTGTTGAGCCTGTCTTGAAGTAGTTGACAGGATACTTCTCTGGCTCTGTCAATCTGTTTCCTCATTTCCTCAGGTGGGTATTTAAGTTTTAAAAATGCTTAATCTATTGATTGTTACCAAAATACACCATATATGTCTAATAAATACACATCTCATTTGTAGCTGAACACATTTCAAAGTATTGCAATGCAAGATTTTATGGGACTGCTACATTTTAGGTGACAGAATCTTTTATTTTCATCCTGACATTCTATAGATTGCAATGTGTGGCTGAACTATGGCTGTGCCCATGGTCCTGTGCTTCTGGCAGATAGTGTTCAGTCTCAGAGGCTTGCTGTGTCCCACCACACAGCCTCTTTCTTATCACTAGAGGCAGGGTTCACAGCCAACAGAGCCATACTCATCACAGGCTAGTCCATAAAATGGGGATGAGACCCGTCTATAGTCCTGGTCTCCCTATCAAGGGACAGACTCTATAGTAGTGTGGGGAGGGCTAGGGGGGAACCCGGGCCCACCCACTACTCCAGGTTCCAGCTCAGGGACTCTAAGGCATCCCGTCCATCTGACAACTACTTCCCTGGGCCACTTCCCCAAACGATCCCTCCCAGTACCTTTTCTCTGGTATCTGAGCAGCTTATCATGCTCCTCCAATGCACTCTGCCTGACTTGCAGCTTCCAGCTCTCACCCAGACCCCTCTCACTCTCAAAATGTTGGCTCCTCTGAATTAAGAGAAGAGGAGCCCTTTTGAACCAATCTGAACTGGTTCTTGATTGTCCTCAGGTGGGCTGAGGAGCCTGACTCCCTTGGCTTGGGAAGACTCCTAATTGTGTTCTAACTGGCCTTATTGTCCAGGCTGCTTCTGGAAAGTTCCTGCGGGTTCTAGGCCACTGCGAGTTTACCCAGGGAACAGAAACCTACTTAATCTAGGGCAAGGCTGGTTTTAGGCTGATTCGCCGGAATGGAGCCCCGCTCCGTGCGTGCGACGCATGCGCAGTTCTCCCCTCCTGCCCCCAGGAACGTGATGCATGCACAGGGTCCCGGGCACATGGCGCATGCGGGGCCCCGCCCCCAGAATCAGGCCCCGCGCTTTTTAAAGCAGGCCCTGATCTAGGGCTAACATACTTTCCTTCTAGCACTCTTTTGTATCCCTCTGATCTGATCCTCTCACAAATGGAACACCAATTTAAATTATGAACATGATCATCTGAAATGTATGTAACCATTTTCATCCTGAAAGTTCCCAAAGTTTTATATATGTGTATGTTCTATGTATATATATAATAAGCACATATTTAGGCTGTAGACAGGAACAAAGTCACTTATAGAATGCACCGTTCAGCAACTATTCAGCAACACAATACAACTGTTTTATAGAGGAAGCTTAAGAACATCTTATTCTTTTAAAACTACTGAAGGAATATATAAACACCCCATATAGTGTGCCAGGACAAGTAGTTAATATCCCTATATCCTTGTGAAAAGTAACACAGGATTTTTAATAACCACTATTACTCAGGACCTCAATTTCACACTTTATTTGGAAGAATGCACAGCACACAGTATCCTTTGAAACCACAGTGGGTCATTTGTATGCTCTCAGAGGGCTTGTCTACACTATAGAGAAGATTGAAGCTGCCACAGTTGGATGGTGCCAAAACACGATTTAAGACACTTGGACTCCAGCTACATAATTAACATAACTGGAGGTGCATAGCTTAAGTTGACTTTCCCTTTTAGTGTAGGCTAGGGATGTTAAAAAGTGGGTAATTGTGTAACCAATGAAAATCTCAGCAGTTACATGCACCTGCAGCATGGGGCAGCAGCAGACTCCGCAGGAGCCAGTGTGCAACAGAAGCTGACTTTTAAGCAGGCTTACAGTGTGTACCAGTTCCCAGACCCACTCCTGGGGATCTGGCTGATGCCCTGTGGTGTTGCCACTGATACAGAAAGCTATAACCATTAACAGTAATCGATAAGCCCAGGCTTATTGGTTAACCATTTAAACAGTTATACAACCCTAGTGTAGACCTGGCCAGAGGAAATAATGACATATACTAAACATTAAGACTACTTGAAACTCTGCTAGGGTTTTTAGTTTGAAAGATCTGATAGGACCAGGTAAAGATAGACTACAGGTAGAGAAAGGAGAGGGATGCTGGCTCTACAGCTATGGGAATGAACTGGTACTCAGGAAATATGAATCTCTTCCTAGCTCTGACAGATGCCTTATATGACCTTGGTAAAGTTACTTAATCAATGTCTTGGTTCCCCACTTGCAAAATGGATAATAGTTTCCTAGCTCAAGAGGCTGCTGTGAGGATAAATAAATAAATAAATAGAGATGGTCAATGAATGGATTACATTTTTTGCAAAATTGAATAAAATGAAGAATTTTTGTTTTGTTAAATTTTTAGTGGAATTTTTCCACAAAACATTTTTGGTTTTGGTCTTACTATCCCTTTCTCTCCCTTTTCTGTCTCTCCTGATTCCTTTTTACCTATTACATGCCAAAAGATTTCAGTTTTTGAAAACTACATTTTTTGGGCTTTCATGTTTTTTGTTGGAAAACTGGAACATGTTTACTAAAACAAAAACTTTTCATGAACATTCATTATGGTCAAAACCATTTTTCATCAAAAATGTTTAATGAATGTTTTGACCAGCTTTATTAATTAATTGATGTGAGATGCTCACACAGAAGGTGCATTAATAGGCATCACAGAAAAGCACATAGATAAATAAATGCAATCTAAAGGAGAATAGAATAACTTTGGAAATGGAGAAATTCGCTCACAAATAGTTTAAACAAAGACTTTGCCAGTGTACTTTTTGGATGAACCTACTAATGTTTTATGCATCAACTTGATAGATGTACATGTATTCAATGTAAAGTTTATCTCTCTGTCAACAGCAATTCATTCTATTCTCCCTCAGGCCTATATATGGCTGAGATCTTTAATGATTTCAAAGAAACGTCATATCTTTTCTTTGGCATCTGGGTATCCTTTGTATTCTTTGCTCACAGATGCATTATTAAAACATATTGTACTACAATCAGTTATATCCTTCTTGCCTATGCTTCAGATTTTCATTGCTTGCTGTTTCAGCTAAGAAAGAATAATTAACACTTGTGCAATTCTTATTTTCAGTAATACTACATGTTACTTATGCAATATATTGCACAAGGGGTTTATGGTTTTTTACTTATGTGAAAAATGAACTGAGTCCTTACTAACATGCAGTAACAAATTCTCATCTTAAAAGGCCTATTTCTTAAGACCTTGTTTTTACCCTTCAATCACTTTTAATTCACAACGTTAACTTCCCATTCATTGTCCGACGTGTTCCTTTTCACAAAAATATCTGATGTGGAAATTTGTCCTGTGTTCTCAGAGAACTCAGGCAAATATTTATTTTACCTCTACTGGCAGTATATATATTTTCAATAACTCTAAGAAGCTGCTGAGGCATGTCCTTGATTGTTCTGTTTCTCATGTAATCTTTTTCCAATTTTCTACTCTGAATCCTTCCTTATGAATTTCACAAAAATGTACATATCTATCAGCAACTTTCTTATAGAATGTATATTGTTCCCACCACACTGATTACTTGAAATTACACATTAATACATATACAAAGCCAGTTGTCCTTCTTTTGACATTACAATACATTCCATCTTTGTAATTTCACACATTTTTTATCCCTAAATAACTTTAGCTCTACAGAAAGTCTTAGCTCTTTTATTTTATGGCAATTAATCAATCAATCAATCATTTATTCCTCTAACCCAGTGTTTCCCAACTGGTGCTCCGGGGAACCCTGGGGATCTGTGAAGCGAAAGCAAAGGTTCCACGAAGAGCCGGCACTCCCCCATAAAGTATAAAATCTTTTAAATTAAGTCTTTCATATTACATTAGATCTCAGTTCTCACAAACCAAGCAGGTTGGGCTGCTCAGCACTTAAATGGGAGACCTCAAAAAGACATATAGAGACTTTAAGAAGTGGGGTTGATTATTTACAGTAGGTAGCATCCTCCCCACTAAGTGAATATGAAACCAATGCCAAACCTGGTGATTGTTATGTGCTGTTGGAGGGGTATATTTCTGGATGAACTATAAATCTGATGTCCAGACTGCTTGTTGTCATTAACAAAAATAACACAGCAGTTTTCACCAAATAGGATAATTACCTTATGCACACCTTAAGTCAACTGAATCCTCTTGCAGTTTCTACTTGTTAAAATACTACTTGATTCCTGTGCTATGTTGCTATACACTGTTAAATTGTTGCCACATTTTAGAGGTGGTTGCACTTCGCTGAGAGATGTAAAGTTATCCCTGCATATGGTTTTTATTTCAATTGTTAAGCACTTCGTGATCTTTCAAAAATAACGTCACCGACTGATTTTTTTGTTTCTTACAATATAGTTTACAATTAAATTAATTTTATTTACACCTCTTTACCTCAGTATGTTCGCAGTAGCTTTTCTTTCTTGTGGTAGTAGATCTGGGTCTCTCAAAACTTCTTCCAGCAAATTAAGAACATTCATTTTCATCTCATTGTTTAGTTCAAAATCCTATGAATTAAAATGATTATATTGTTTTAATGATTTAGAATGAATAACTCAAAAATATGATCTGTTACTTTTGCTTTTCTTTTTGCTTACATTTGAGAAAGTTTAAAGAATAGAGTTATGTAGAGATCTTTAATGGTAAATGCCAGGTATTACTATTGCCATAGGAACTTAATCTTGTTCATTTAATTAATGTTGCTAGTTTGAAAATGTCATAAACGAACAAACAAAAACAGATTTGGAATTTATTCATTATTCTGCAAATATTTTCAGAGCAGTGGCCCTGGATAAAGAAAAACTATTTGAACCCTTCTTAATAGCTAATGGCATAAGACATAATTTTCCCATAGTAGAAAGATTATGTATCTCTAAGGGTGCACCCTAAACATGAAATAAGATATGCAATTTGTGCTATGCAAATTGCGTATCTTTTTTTAAATCTATTTTGAAATAAGCTATTTCAAAATAGATTTAAAACAAAATAAGCTATTTTGAAATTTGGCGCTTCTACACAGTGCCAAATTTTGAAATAACATGCTATTTTGAGCCATCTTTAACCCTCGTGCAACAAGGTTTACTGGGATGGTGATATGGCGTGTCCATTATTTTGAAAAATATTTCAAAATAATGGGTGGCTTTTGTAGAAGCAGGGTAGCTATTTTGGGATACCTGCGGTATCCCAAAATAGCCATACAGTGTAGATGTACCCTTAGATGAGCTCATAACAAGGCAGGAGGTGACAGCCATATTACTGCCAGCAAACCTCCAGGTCATCTTTGGGGCAGAGCCTAGGCAGTGCAAGTTGTCACAGTTCCAGTTAAATCAATGGAATTATGATAATTTACATCAGCTGAGGAAGAAGAGGTTACTCACCTTGTGCAATAACAATGGTTCTTCAAGACTTGTATCCCTGTGGGTGCCCCACTCGGGTGTTGATGCATCCTCACACTGGCTATTGGAGATTTTTACCCTAGCAGTGCCTTCCCATACTGCACATGCTCAGTTGCCATCTCATGCTGTTTTGTCCCTTAGCTACACGCACGGTGCGAGTCCCTCCATTCCTTTTCAAATGAGAAATCCATTAATGGACTCAAAAGTAGAGAGGAGAAAGGGAGGGTAGTAGAGCACCCACAGTGACACATATCTTGAAAAACAATCATCACTGCACAAGGTAATGTCTTCCCCTTTGAGTGCTGTCCCTGTGGGTGCTCCACTCAGGTGACTGAAGAGCAGTACCTGCATTAGGTGGAAGTGGACTTTAGAGTCATGTCTGAGAGGTGGCAAAGACAGCAGCGCCCACGGAGGTAGATGTAATTGGTCCCTGTTACAATGCATAGTGCTGCACAAAGGTATGATAGGAAGACCAGGTAGCTGGCTTGCAGATGTCAACAAGAGGCACGTAGGAAGAAAGAAGGTAGATGTTGCCACTGCTCATGTGGAATGAACAGTGATCCTGAAGAGGGGGCACTTATTGTGGAGCATGAAGCAGAAGTGTATACAAGCAGATATCCATTTTGATATCTGCTGAGCGGAGATGGCTATTCCTCTAGAGGGACCAGAGATAGATATAAAAAGTCTATTCAATATTCAAAATTGTCTTTTTCTGTCCAAGTAAAATGCCACAGCTTGATGTACATCCAGTGTGTGCAAGATCGATTCCCTAATGGAGTTATGAGGCTTCAGATAGAATGTGAGAAAAGATATGAATTCATTGATATGAAAGGGGAAGACCACTTTTAGTAGAAATTTCAGATGTGGACATAAAGTAATCTTGTCCTTGGAGAACACCATGTAAGGCAGATCCATCATCAGGGCTGCAATCTCTCCTACTAGTCTGGCTGATGTGATCGCAACTAAAAATGCTACATTCATAGCCAAATGGTGGAAAGAGGAGGTTGCTAGAGGTTCAAAGGGAGGTCTTGTCAGGGTATTCTGGACAAGTGGTAGGTCCCATTTGGTACTGGTGGCTGTATATTGGGATGCTTCTTGCACAGGCCGGAAAGAAAGTGTTTTGAGATGGGGTGAGCAAACATGGAAGTGTCATCCACTGCGATGGCTGCTAGGTAAACTTTTATAGAGCAGAAGATGAGCCCTACCTCACTAAGGTCCATGAGTTATTCAAGGACGGGAGGTATAGAAGTGGGGGTAGGTTGTAATAGACACTGTAGGCACCATTCCTGGAATCGTTGCCATTTGTTCTGGTAAGCGTATCACACAGAAGGGCAACAGCTATTCAATAGGACCTGCTTCACCCTCTCAGAGCAGGTAAGTTCTTCATGTTGGAACCATGGAGTCAGTCTGAGTGTTTGGGGATTGGAGTGGCAGAGCCATCCCGGGTGTCAAGAGGTTCTGTAGGTAAGGGAACCAAGGTTGTCTGGGCCAGGATGGGGCAATCAGAATTATCCTTGCATGATCTGAGTGTATTTTGTGAATTACTCTGCGAGCCAGGGGAATTGGAGGGAAGGTGCATAGAAGTGGAGTTGTCCATGGAGAATTGCATCTCCCAGAGAGTTCCTGCCTTGACCCACCCTGGAGCAGAAGAAGAGGTTCTGTAGGTAAGGGAACCAAGGTTGTCTGGGCCAGGATGGGGCAATCAGAATTATCCTTGCATGATCTGAGTGTATTTTGTGAATTACTCTGCGAGCCAGGGGAATTGGAGGGAAGGTGCATAGAAGTGGAGTTGTCCATGGAGAATTGCATCTCCCAGAGAGTTCCTGCCTTGACCCACCCTGGAGCAGAAGCATGGGCTTTTGTGGTTGGTTCTGGTTGCAAAGAGATCTATTGCTGGGAATCTCCACGGCTGGAATATGCAGTAGAGGATCATGGGGTTGAAGTCCTATTCATGTTACTCTGAAAAATGTCTGTCACGATGTTCTGATGGCCCGGTAGGTACATTGCCACTGGCATTATATCATTTGTTATGCACCAGTTCCAAAATCTGATCACCTCAGCACATAATTGTAATTGGGCACCCCCTCACATCAGTTGACATAGAACATGCAGGGTGTGTTGTCTGTGAGGACACAAATGGTATTGCTGCAAATTATCAGAAGGAAATGGAGACAGGCTCTGAATTCCAGTATGTTGATATGCCGGCACATCTTGTGATGTGACTACCTGCCCTGGACTGTATGGTGACCACAATGAGCACCCCAGCCTGTGAGGGATGTGTAGGAGGTTATCACCCAAGATAGATTGTGCTATTGAAATGGTACTCCATTGAGAAGATTGTGTGGGCATATCCATTATTGTAAAGAGGTAAGTACTAATGGGGAAAGTGTTACCTGTTTGCTTAGACTGTGTTGATTTGGGATGTATACTGTTGCTAGCCATCCCTGTAAGCAACGCATGTGAAGTCTTGCAAACTGTATTACATATGTGGTGGCTGCCATGTGCCTTAGAGTTTGAAAGCATGCCCAGACGTTCGTGAAGAGGGTGTATAATTCTGCTTTAATGAGGTTGTGTAGCATGTGGAACCGGTGGACCGGGAGGGTGGCTCTGGCTCTGATGGAATCCAGTGATGTCCTGATGAATTCCATCATCTGGGTAGGTTCTAGAGTAGATTTTTGTAGATTTATTAGAAGTCCAAGGTTAGAGAAGACATCCCAAGTGATGTTTGTCATAATTAACGTTTATTGATGAGAAGTGCCTTTGATTAGACAGTCATTTAAATAGGGAAATAGGAAGACCCCTTAATATTTCAAGAACGCAATTACCACAACAAATGTCTTGGAAAATGTGTGGTGCAGTTGACCCAGTACACGGTACTGATAATGATTATTTCCTACCATGAATCTGAGGAACCTCCTGTGAGAAGGATGGGTGGATATGTGGAAATAGACATCTTGAAAGTCAAGGGCTGAGAACCAATCTCCTTCATCCAATGCTGGTATGATAGTCTCCAATATCACCATCTTGAATTTCTGATTGCGGATGAATTTGTTCAGTTTTCTGAGATCTAAGATGGGCTTCCAATCTCCTTTCTTCTTTTGTGCAAGGAAATAATTTAAGCTAAATCCTCTCCTGTGAAATTGTGGGGGAACTTTTTCTATGGCCCCGAGCAGAGAAGGTTTTGTATCTCTGCTTGTAATAGATACTCCTGAGAGGGGTCTCTGAAGAGGAAAGGGGACGGGAGAAGTGTAGGGGGCATAGATAGTAAAGGGATAATACAACGTGATCTTACAATCTTGAGGACCCATTGGTCTATGGTGATGAGGGCCCCACTGGTGGTAGAAGGGCCTCAGCCAGTGACCAAAGAGATGGGATGACTGTGTTGGTGGATCGGGTATGTTGGCCTCTCCTTCTGATCGATTGCCGCTTGGGTCTTTGCTTGAAAGATCTTTGTTGCTGTCTGTGGAAGGGGTTGTCTCGTGGCGCCTGATAAGGCATGTATCACCTCCTTTTGTTGGGTGGAGTATACATGTCCAATGTGAGAAGGGTTGGTGAGAATCCTTCATCGAATAGAGGACTTCACCTGTCTTGCCTTTAAACAGATGAGTTCTATCAAAGGGAAGGTCCTCTACTCTGGTCTGCAGCTCACATTGAATTCTTGAGGATTGTAGCCAGGAATGATATGGCGCATCATGATGGCTGAGGTTGTCACTCTGGCAGCTGTATCTGCCATGTCCATTGAGACCTGTAGGGCAGTTCGGGTGATAGACTGGCCATCCTGAATGATGGATTGGAGCTGAAGCCTTTTTTTTTTTTTTTTTTTGCGCTCTGGGAGATCATTCATAAGCTCCTTGAGTAGTTTGCGTAATCATAGTTCGCAAGGAGGGCTGTATAGTCATTTGAGATCCAGAACTGCAAGGTCACTGGGGGTACATCTGAACAGGTCCAGCCTCTGATGTGCCTTGTCTTGTGGAATAGATCTAAATTGTGGTTGCTTGGACTGATGGTGGACTGCATCCACAACCAATTAATTTGGTCAGGGTGAATAAAGAGGAAGTCTATCCACTTAGCCTGTATGAAATATTTCTATCCATTCTTTCCTTGGTAGGGGA